AAAACATCATATCAGCTTTCTCTTAGTTCACAGAAACTCATATTCGGAGCAAATATATATGCATTTATTAAATATTTACTGAGTACTTACTAAATTGTCAATACTGAGCTAGTTAGTAGAAGTACTAAAATACATTGTACAGTCCCAAATGAAATATGCTCTTCCTTTTAACTCACAAAACAAGAACATAAGTTAGAAAATAATACCTCAGGTGTACAGGTAAAACTACAATGAAAGAAATAGAATTCACTTGTAGGCCCAAAATTTGACTCCAAAATTTCACATTGAAAAATTCTACTTAGCTAATGATTGTAATATATATTAATCCCTCTTTACTGAGACATTCCTTGGCATATATCTATATCTATATATATTTATAATATTTATCATTCTTTTTAGATATAAACCAGGGCTCAGAAAAGTTTAAAAAATTAATTTCTGATAATAAGGAACTCAATCAGAATTAAAGCTTATTCCCAGTTGGTTCTGCTATATAACAGCAGTTATAAAAATATGGAATCTAACACCCTCTCTCTTCTCTTATCCCTCTCTCTCTCCTTTTACTCTCTCTCTTCCTTTCTTCTCTCCTACCCTGACTACCTTTCTCTTTCTGCCTCTGGAAGAGGTGTTGTCTCTATTATCTTTTTCCATGTCTGTGTGTTTGTGGTTTTTTTTACCATTTGTCTTTTTCATTTGGTTTTCTCTATCAATTCATTTCTCTTTGTCTGAGGTTTCCTCTATTAAAATCTGTCTTTCTCCCTGTCTGTATAGGGGCTCTGCCTATACTTGTCTCTGTTAATGTCTCTATTTTTCCTTCATGGTACAACTCAGTTTCTTTCTGCTCTATTTACTTATCTTTCTGTGTCTCTATCTTTCTCTTTTCCTCTGTATGAGTCTCTCTTCATTTTTCTTTCTTTGTATGACTATCTCTGTGTCTCCTTTTGATGGTGTATCTCTGTAAGTGTTCCATGCTATTTCAGGCTGAGATGTAAAGTTCTAAAGAAATAGCAAACTCTCATCTAGTTTTAATGACCCTTCTCTGGATTCCAGTGGTGTGCTGCAAAATTGAAGAAATCAGTCCCTTAAATGATAAAGCAAAAAGGAAAGTCATTGTCCTTGGATAAACAATTTGCATTTCCATAAGGATTCAGTGATGCAGAATCAGAAAAGGCTCATTCTGACACCTTCATGAACACAACAGGGAGAGCATTCATTAGCTGGGCTCCTGTTTGAATGATGCACTTCATTGCACACACTGCTGTCCTCCCCCATTCAGGAAATAGTGTTTAATTCTGTCTGAAACTGGCCCTTTCACTAGGCATTAGAATGAATGACTTTACAAAGTAATAGGAACTACACATCTGCCATGGCCTGAGAATGCTTACACTCTAAAAGCCATACAGAAGTTACACCTCCTGTCAATTTCTTAGCCATCAAGATGCACAATAAACAAGCTTTGGATTTTTCCATTTACCAGGATAAGAGAGAAAAATACTTTAAGTTCTTTAGTTTCTTGAATTAATGACTACTTCTGCCTTTGAATTTGTAGCCTCAATGACCATGATCTAATACTCAAGGTTTAGCACAACCTTTAAACACCTTGTGAGATAAAAGGAAATTTGTCCTTTACAGTGCTATGGTGGAAACTTTTACTCTTTATCATAGAAATTATTTGTTATCATTATTGTTGATACACATTTTTCATGAGATGTGATTGCTACAACATGAAAACAATTGTAGTTTAGAATATTTAGGAATTTACAGATTTCTTATTGCTTATCCTGGCTGATTCAACACAAATTCTGACAGACTGAGTTATAAATGAAAATATTCAGGAAAAAATATTTAGGGGGTTTATTAAGGTTTCCATGGAAAATAATTTTGTTCTTGGATAACAATCTGAGGTTTTGAGCAATTTATATTAAATAACTGTATGTGTGGGTATAGCTAAAGCATTAGTATGTTACTTATTTTCAGCCTGAGACCAAGTCACATTTGGCTTCAAATTCCTTCAAGACTGGTACTTTACTCGACACCTTGAAGGTGTTGATTCTACTTCAAACCCATGCTATTCATGCTCACATTTAAAATCATCTCCCCTTCTAATGTGTAAAGATGTAATGTTTTCATTTGTAATTTCTATGTGTATTTTCTGTCTTTTACCATGTCATCCAAGAGACTCTCATATTCAATTTAAAAGAAAATTACATATTAATTTAGTTTCTGAGCACTTTGAACCTTTAGAATTTGTACACAGACTCTACGAAGAGAACATAATCTGCCATATATTATTCACAATGTCTCTTTTTTTGCTAACTCAAAATTGACTGTGGGCACTAATGAATTCCCACAGTTCCTTCAAATAACTTTGCATGGAACTCAGTAATATGTGAAAATGAAACTAGTATAGATAGTCCCATAGGTCATCGTTAGTTTTGAATCCACAGTCTGTCACATTATAGTGATAAGTCATAAAAATCCCATTACAAAAGAAAAAATATCTATGCCCACATACCAGTTTTAGGTGAGAATAATAAAAACAGTTCTGAAAAGTCACTTCTGTCTAAAACAATCATTTCAAATTTATAATTGTGCATCCTTATTTTGCAAATGAAAGCCATGGAGATATGGAATGACAAAATGGTTCTAGTACACCATCATTCCCATAAGAAGACTAACTCATTTTAAAAAATGGAAAAAAATAACTGTGACCAAAATCAACTCATAGAATTCCAAATAAAAATTAAACTTAGACATTCTATATCCCCACTATAGTAAGAAGCACTGTGACCTTTTTGCTTAAATTATTGTTGCTGCCAACTTTAATTTATTCATAGGTTGAAATCCTGAGTGAAACTTGAACCATATATTTCCCCCCAAGGGTTTGGACTACAGTAAAATGCAAGTGTATACAGAGACTTCTATGTTAGAAAAAAGTAGAGATATAAGCTAGTTTATGAGAGTTTTATATCATTTTACATAATGTAAGTAGGAAAAAAGTTCTTGTTTTCTGAAACTTTACCTGCACATTTATAATAAGACATTAGCACACTTACTTACCCTTATAAAATACTCACACTTGGAATTACTTCATTTACTTTTAGTTTTACTTTTTACTATATTGGAAAGTCTCATTATATGTTTGGGAAACAAAACTCCTTATGATCAAGTGATAACAAAAAGGAACCATTAATTACTCATATATTTGCTTGACATACACTTTCTGATCAAAGAAAATAGTGATTTTCTTTGATAAAAATAATTAACTTTTGGATTTTATTTCAAACTTAGGCTGTGTACCAAAATACTGGGAATTTTCTGCAAATGGTAAGAAAAGCAGGTTGTCTGCCTGTGTAAAAATTGGATAATAAAAACAAACAATATAACGCACATTATACAAAATTCAAATGTGGAAAGATTGAGAAACAAGATTGTAATGCACATCTAATTTTAACTCAGGTTATTTTTCTTAGAATTAAAACTATTACTCATGTCTTGTTAAACTAATCTTATACTTCGTCTACTAATATCATAAAATAATATTAATGGAGATAATATAAATATTTAAATATCCTAGAAAAGCTTGTGATTAAACCTCTTAATAAATAATATTCAAAATCAATCCATAATTTTCTAGAGAGGCAGCCTACCATGCTACCGCTATCTTTTTTTGTTCCCTTAACAGTTAATGCTTAGAGATTATTTGGGGGCAAAGTTAGGGGTATTCACATTCCCTGCTCAGCACATCACTGGAACAATTATGAGGTGAGGAGGTCGCCACTCAGTAGAATTGTGCACCTATTAAATTACACCTTTATTTCATAGAAGAATGAGTCCACAGTGAAGGGTAACGAGTAGCTGAAACTTGAAGACTCACATACACTGATAAATGCACAAACTTGCACTTAGCCACAACTTAAGCAAACTACAGAAAACAATAGTGGAGCCAATTTACAGAGTAAAATAAGTGTACATGTACATATACAAGAAAACTTCATCCAGGGGGTGCAAATTGCAGGCAGCATTCTGTGCTTAAAATATACTTTTTAAATGTTACTGTTTCTCTAATGTTCTCTAATGTTAAGCAACACAATGACTCCAGTATTTGGCTACTATGTTTGACAATTGCCTCTCTTGTGAGAGTAAATGAGTATGTCTTGGAGTTAACCTTACAGGGGACCATCCTTTATCCTGCTGCTAAGAATGGCTTTCTGCATGTGTACCACAACTCGATCAAATCGGGACCATCTGTGTATGTAAGAGTCATACATTAGACTACCAGAAGATTGGGCCTGAATCTTATTACTCAGGTCCCACCTACCCTTTAGCTACTAAAGTATGTTTTTAAAGAGAAGCCACAAAGAAGGAAAGCTATTAAGACTCTCTAGTATTAATTTTGTATTACAAGAATAAAGTTGACCTAGATTCAAATTCTAAATGGTTAATGCTCCCAGACACTTTCAAATAGAGATAGATGTTCTAATGCACTAAAACATTTATAATGAAGCATCAGGATACTCTATATCCTAGCAAGGCACAAAACATTCACACCAGTCATTGTGATGCACTTAGCCACTGTAACTTAACAATATCAACTAAAACGTCTCTCACTACTAGACATAAAACAGAATGTGTGCATGCACAAAATCAAAACACAACATATTTTTCCATGTTGTTTTAGGGAGGAGGAAGTAGAGAAAGTGGTTGAGTATTCTGTTTTTCTAAAATGACAAACCAGAGTTACAATTCAAAAACGTGTCTTTGTAAATATTACAATGATACCTCAACAAAATTATAATACCTCTCTGTAATCAAGAAGAATAAGACAGGCAGCAACTAATTACTTGCACATCCTGACTACTCTGTTCTTTGAACAAGCACAACAAAAAGTGATATGACAGATGCATTAAACTGAAACAAGATCTTAACTTTCTCTTTAGTTCACTGCTGTTTTAAATTTGAAAAGATAAGAAAAGAGTTGGGGGAAAAAAAGAACTTACTTGCGGTTCAAAGTTTCATCTGTACTCCATGTAAGATTATGCAGCAAGTTTCCTTGCCAAGGCTGCCTCCTGCACATCCCTTTGAAAACAACAAATGCTCATAATCTAGTTTCAAGGCGACGATTCATTCACACGTTACACTTCTTGTTCCAGCGAGCCATTAATGTCCACTTTGGTATCATCACAAAAACGTTACTAGAGATTTTTAAAAACACACAACAAAGCAAAACACCTCACCACATTAATCCAGAAGGCATAACATCATTCTCCACGTTGTTCTGAGGTGTGTGCCAAATGCCTTACTTATCACAAGCAACTAACTCTAAGCTGCTAGCAGGAATCTGTCTGCCCTCTATCTGTGGCTATTAGCTCAGCACGTTGATTCACCAGCGCTGAAGCAGCAGCAATTAGCTCTACAGCTCCTCACAGCGTATACAGGAGACAACTGAGTGCGCTAAAGCATGCAGTGACTGGTGAGCGCTTCGCGCCAATTAGTAGCAGGTGCTACAGCCCAAAAGACAAATTGATGTCCTGCTGATCATGGCTGCTGGCTGCTTTATTGTGCTGTGTCCTGTCAGCCTATGTAGTGATTCTGTTTTCTTTCGTAGTGTTGTTTTTACTGTTTTACCTCAACAGTACTAAGAAGGTTAGCAGCTTACATTCAATAACAATATTAATGACAAGTCAAGATAATCTTTTAAGCTCCTTCAAAATTCTCTCCTGCTGTCACTCTCCTCTTTCTCTTTTCCTTTTTCAACCATTGCCATGAACTCTACATTCTTATAATAATTCCTCCACATCTCTGAGGCTAAGGAAAGTTCATACATTTTATAGAAAACAAAAGTAGACATTTTAGATTATAAAAACATGTAACCGACAGAAGAGTATCATGGAGAAACTTACTATAGGAGTAATCATAGGCTATTTCTTAACTATTGTGATATGTAAGATCCTCATAATACATTTGTATAGAGGGATATGTAAACTAGTGGGAGAGAGTAGATATTTTGTAATCTAATCGGGTATGCCTTTTCAAGGAATCTATCTTAGAATTTATTGAAGTCCACATCAAATTTCACCTACCTATTCATCTTAGTACCTAAGAAGAAAGAATCTAGAAATGAAAGTGATCTCATTACATGCTATAATAGTATGGCATAGAGCAAATGTCCTCAGGCTGACTGAAATAAAAAGGTGAAAGGCATCATAGTCAAAATTCTCCAGAGCACTTGTTTTCCTGAAGGACAATGTAGATTTTTTTTCCATAATGAGGTGCATGCCAATTTAAGAAAAAAAAATGCTTCTAGAAATATTGCTAAATTTATATACCTATATACACACACTCAGAGTAAAACTTCATTGAAAACAACATCTACTTCTCTTGCTGGATAAGTTTCCTAGGGGAGAGGAAAGTCATGAATGCTGAGGGAATCTGATGTCAGGCAAATATGTCATAAATCCAAGCAGTAAATATGTAAAAATAAAATTAGGTAATCATAGATGAGCTCTTATTGCCCTCAGAAAAACCTATTTGTTCCTATTCCATGTATTACTATTCCTATTCATTGAATTACTTTCTTTCTGCAAATCAATGAAAATGCAAGGGATACTGATGAGGACTTGTAGAAACATAAGCATTAAATAGTTGTAAAAACTGATGTTCTTAACATTTTAAAACTTGATGTTTTACCAAAGACATTTATCAATAAATGTTTACACAAAGTTGTCGTGTTTTGAGATGATTTTTCATTTCACTGAAATATTACATATATGAAACAATATATATTGATATTAAGAGTAGCAGCTGATATTTTAAGCTGTCATAGTAACAGTAAAAATTAACAATTATATTCCATATGAATTTAAAAGTCATCTTCACTTTTGGTGATATTAAATTGTAACTTTGATGATATATCAGACATGTAGCTACAACACACAAAATTTCATTTCTTCCTTGCTCCTATGAGAAATTAGATTATTATCAATTGAACTTTTGTTGATGAAAAGTTTCACTTTTGTTTAATAAAAAATCGCTATATTTTCATATCTAGATATTATAAAATATATTTAATGTGACAAAATGGAATATTTAATACAGGATAAAAAAGGTAAATTTCAGGAAATCAATTTAAGAACAAAAGAGAAGAATGGAAATAATCACTGAAAAATCCATTATCCAAATATAATTTCTGTTAAACATAATGGTGTGTAATATTCTAGACTTCTCTCTCCCTTGTCTTTCTCAGTCTTTCTCCTTTTGTCTGTCTCCTTCCAACTTTCTTGTTAAAGTCCACTGAACCCAATTCTACATAGTACATCTAACATCTTTGCTTCTCTTAAAAAAATCAATAATATAAAGATGAATATGAACTGGACTATATAATCTTAAGTGTAGTTATCTAGCCTTTACTATATTAACCATGAAATTTATAAGAAACTTGGCCAAAATAGAAATGAACTTCCAAGGTTTTAAAATAAAAAAGAAATAGTATATGTCCTAAATCTAAAGCTGAATTGGAATATAAATGTGCTTATTCTCATAGAAAAGAGATTATGGTAGATTTTCCCCAGTGGACTTTTTTCCATGCTGAAGATTGGACTCAGGACTTTGAGCATAGTAAGCAAGTGCTCTGCCACTCAGCTATACTCCCAGTACCCACCAAGTCTTTTTAAATAGATTTTTATTTATTAATATTTTTAGCACAATTTTACTCTCATTTACCTTCCTTTCCAAGAATAACTGTTGGAAAATATTTAACATGTATTTATCTTGTGTGCATTGTAGCAAAATGAACATTATATGTTATTCTAAAAATTCATAACATTAATTGTATTAGAATTTTGTGAGACTATTTCATAAAAATTTAATGTTATATTTTATAGAGTAATAAAATAGAAAATGCTTAATAATCTAACTCTATGCCAAATATTAGCTCCATCCTACTGACAGCTGGGAAAAGTAACATGAAAATTTGCACTTATGTAACTTCTTCTGTGCTCTGGTATTTATTAACCAATAAGGAAACAAATGGTGAGTCAAAGACACAAGGTTTGTTTTTCTACATTTAATTTTTCTTCAAACCTTGACATATTATAACAGTAGGTTTGCAGAGACCATCATTCAAAGCTACTTCTCTTGTTGACAAGAGAATTAAAATTAAATTTCCTCCATTGACTGGTTGGCAAATTTATTCACTGAGTAGAATAGTTTTATAAGCTTTTAACTTCAGTCCTCTGATGAGAAGTATTTCAAAGTATCTGCATAATGAACAGCAAACCAATATTAATTCATCCATATATTACTCCCAAGTATATCTTCCAAGTATATCTCTCAAGTATATCAAGAAAGCAAAATATAAGAGGATTTGTTTATCCTTGCAGAATGAGAACAGTCTTTGAGTCAGTAAAAATTGCAAAGTAAAGACAAGTATAAAAGGCTTTTTTTTTTTTTTTTGGTCCATTATCACAATTAAAGCTTTCTAGAACAAAAGTTTATGCAGTACTATCAAAATAGCTTTGCTCATCATAAGCAGTGTCTCACCAAGTTGTGTAGGATCATGCAATCCATTCTAGGCTGTACTAATAATCATTTAAAGTTGGGATTCAAAGCTGTTGTGTATAATCTCACAGTTAGAGCTCAACCAGGAACCTAGAGGCTGGAGAGCCATCTTTGTACATGCTAATAAGTCTTTATCATGATTGCTTGATATATAATGTTGTTTTTTCTGACATTTCTTTATTGTTATAATTCAAAGCAGCTATAGTTAACTTAGTTCCTTCCATATTTTTTAACACTAGAACTTGCTCATGTTATAGTGATAACTCAAAGGAAGAGGAAAAGTATAATCTGTATTTAAAACTGACCTCTCTTGAGGATTCCAATAGGCAGACCTTTCCTATTATTTTAGGAGAGCAATTTAATGATATAATGCATTAGTTAAGGGGTAATGCTCAAAGGAATAATTAATTTTTACACATGGACAGTGTGATTTAGTAAAATACGGGAAGATGTTGAACCATTCATTTTTTTTTTTTTTTTGTATCGGGGATCGAATTCGAGTCCTTGCTCATACCATCTTTTAAAATTCAGTCCTTCAAGATTATTAAATTTAGAATAAGATTATCTTTGTGTATATCTGATGGGCTTACAAATACAGGAAGACATGGAGAGAGGGAGAGAGGGAGAGAGGGAGATAGTCTTCACCAGGACCATTCATTATCATTTTTTTTTTTTTTTTTGTATCGGGGATCGAATTCGAGTCCTTGCTCATACCATCTTTTAAAATTCAGTCCTTCAAGATTATTAAATTTAGAATAAGATTATCTTTGTGTATATCTGATGGGCTTACAAATACAGGAACTATTTTTTAATCTTATAGAAGACTAAACATTATACAATTAAAGTATACTATGATTTCATATAATCTAAAATCCCTTGAAAGCAGAAAAACAATACTACAGAGAAAGAGTTAGTAATCATTGTAAAATGTTTCATAAATATGATTTTTTAGTCCTTATTTGTCTTAAGGATCTCCCTTCACCCCCTAGAAAGAAATCTAGACTTTCAGAATGGTTTAATTCAAACAGTAAAAAAATCAGAATAACATTACTTATACTACATTTTCTCAGTTCTAGTTTTCTTATGCTGGATATATTTGTGTGGTAATGTTGTATAATAAATCATCACAAATATAGCCGCTTAACACAATATACTTTTATTATCTTGAAGTGTGTATGAGTCAGGGGTCTAGGGTGTAGTCTCACAAGGGTGTAATCATGGTGGCTGGACTGAGTTCTCTCCTAGAGACTATCTTAGGGGAGAATTTTGTTACCAAGCCCATTTGAGTTGTTTGGTAAAAATCATTTGACTCTGTGAGTGAGGACCCTCGGTTGACTTTTGCTCTATTCTCCACATTACATTCAGGGTCTACAGATTGTCTCCATTTCCTATCCAGAACCCCTTCATAGGGTGCTTACAATATGATTGTTTTTTCAAGGCCAGGGGGAGAAGCTTTGTGTTCCTCCAAGTATAAACTGAAGTTCTACATAATCACAGGATTTATTCCTCATCGCTTTTGCTGAATTGTATTGATTATGAGCAAATTACAATTTCTTCCACTGCCAAAGGATGGAGATTGTAGGGGCTACAATACTAGTGGTCTAGATCATGGGACTTTCTGGGTATTCTGCCTGCCATGGTGGATTAATTCCTAGTGTATTTAATATATACCGCTACTCAGACAAGTTTTTCTTTATATGAAAAAACAGTAATAAAAATAGTTGAAGATTTTGAACACTAAAAGCTTGCTTTCAATTAGTTTGAAAGCATTTAGGACTTTTAGTATATAAAATT